ATATATATATATGCATGCATCTTTCTTATGTCTTAAGAGTGCAGGAGAACCTTAAGAAAGAAACTATGTGTGATGTTTTAATCATTTCAAGTCTTTAGGCTAGAAAAGTTGCATCTTGGATATGTTAGCATAGGGCATAAATTAATTACTGTATTCAAGTTAGTATTTGAGTTAGTTACTTGGCTTGATCAAAGTAGTGTATCTGGTGGATGTTCTTCTGGACTGTTCAAGTTAACTTAGGTTTTTCTTGCACCTAACGTGTAAGTTGTATGGTCTGCATATGGGTTAGAAATGGTGCTTCATTCTATTTGTATTTGTTTTAGGGTGCCTAGTGACTGCCATATGGTTGTATTGGTATAGTTGAGGAGTCAAGTACCTGATACTGATTAGGTGACTTTTTTTTTTTTTGTTACCATTTCATGGTGTCAAATACATGTTGAGGCCAAGCGCATTTTGCCTAGGGCGGTATGTTGGTAATATGGTTGAGGAGTCAATGATCCAAGATCAATTGGGTGGCTTGTCTTTTTCTTTGGCCATGAAATTGGAAGTGCACTAGGCCATTTGTGTTGTGAAATACCGTGATGATATAACTTAATTTGCATGTTGCTTAAGGTCCCAAGCTGCCGATAATTGCTCAGAATATAACATGCTTGTGCACATTCCAAACCCATCCCATTTATTTAACATTCATATTAAAGACCTAAGTCTAGCACTTTAACAATTATGTTAAACATGTGCAGTAGGTTTAACCTGTTTGTTTTAATTATATTCTTTTTTTGTTTTATCTTTAATAAATCTTAAATATCAGCATAAAATTTGATATACTGAGGTCTTACTATCAACTTTTACATGGTGGTAAAGAAATCCTTTAGTATCAGAAAAGCATAAAAACTTGAACTATATAATAATTGTAGATAATATTTATTATTCTTTTTTAATAGGATGTAGATTTTTTTTTCTTTTTGTATTATTTACAATAAGTCTTTGGGTTTGTACTTGTAAAGGGTTGAACTAAAGACCCAATCACCCAAACCTTTAAGAAATTGGGCAGATCCAATTTGGTCCAGAGGTCAAGTCAATAATTGCCACCATAACTTTGTTTCAGCTCTCGTTTATTCAAAGTAAGGTTTGGACTAAGATTTGATTTGGTTTGGCATTGAATTGGTTTTGATTCTGAAATTGAGAGGTTGCTTTCACCAAAGCAGGTGTAGTTCACACTCAGCATCCACCTCTATTCAAAGTCATATTCTCTATTGCAACCATGAGGTGCAGACATCAGCTTATGCCTCTTATGAATGGCATTAGAGTTACTATATTAAGCTACAAAATAGTGATATGTCAACAGAAAACGTTGTGCAAACCTGATTCCAAAGCTGCTTATAACTTTTATGCAGAAATCATATTAGTCATCTGTAAACATCATGTTCAATGCAAAATAAGCTACAAGATGCTTCAACATAATGCAGCTATTTGATCATAACAGACTTAGTTGCACAAAATCCATTCACTGAATGGTGTGTTTTATACCGAGTTCATTTGTGTTTCTTTTTCAGGTTGATCAATCCAGTGGTTGTTGCACCTACCATTGCTGCTGTTGGACTTTCTTTTTATAGTTATGGTTTCCCACTAGTTGGAACATGTCTTGAGATTGGTGCTGCGCAGATATTGTTGGTTATTGTTTTTTCTCTTGTAAGCTTTTGAAACTCATTTTAAATTTTGCAAGGTTTTGTTCCTTTTTCTAATTATTGTTTATCATTTTATTGCTGGTTGAATGCCTAGATTATTAAAATCTAAATATTTTTTTCTTACTGCGTTGTGAGAGAAAACATCTGAATATGTTTCCATATGTGCAGTATCTTCGTAAGATATCTGTTCTCGGCCATCGCATATTTCTAATCTACGCAGTAAGTTTTTTCATTACAGAGTTGTGAATTCATTATTGTATATGCTTTTTTTTAAAGAAAAAAAAACTTTTTGATACACAGTTTATAATGTTGTTGTACATATCTTTTGTGACCATGATATGGGTGTTTCTGTTAATTACCAGGTTCCTTTGGGCCTTGGAATCACATGGGCAGCCGCTTTCCTGCTCACTGAAGCAGGAGCTTATAGCTATAAAGGTTGTGATACCAATGTACCTGCCTCAAATATAATATCTGAGCACTGCAGAAAACATGTTTCCAGGATGAAGCACTGTCGAGTTGATACATCTCATGCATTGAAATCTTCCCCATGGTTTAGGTTTCCTTATCCATTACAATGGGGAACTCCTGTCTTCAACTGGAAAATGGCCCTTGTTATGTGTGTGGTTTCAGTAATAGCGTCAGTGGATTCGGTTAGTTTCCTATTATCTATAATATTGATACATTTACTGTAGAATCATATTTTCATTGCAATTGGACTCATCATAGATTCTTTTTCTTCTGAACTTGCATCTTCAATGGTCATTCATGATCTCTGTTGTGGGCTAAAATTTGTTACTCTGTTTTGGAAGGCCTTGGAATTTCATGCAAATAAAATGTTAATTTATTTACTTTGCCATTATTGGGGGTGTGAATAAGCAAAAAGGTTTTGGTTCTGACCTACCAAGAAAGATGAGAATTCCTTTTTGGAAAAAAAAAAAAAAAACCTCTTAGCCTTGGTGCTTGAAATTGAACATAAAGTCCAAGTGTATGCTAAAGGTGTGCTGAATTCTTGTTGAGGTCAATTTGAATGGTATTGTAATTTCTCTAGTGTCAAGGTGGTAAAGTGAAGGGCAGAAATTTTAAGTTCTGAACTGTTAGAGGAGGGAATAACAAATTGTTGTAGTCATTTGTGTCTTGACTAAAACATAAGTCCTCCGTAATCCCATTGGAAGTGCTAAAGTAAATTCATAGGTTCTTGTTTATAAATGTATCATATGCACTGGGTTAGAGTCCTCTGAGGGTTTGGATTGCCTTAGCTCTATTTATCTGTTTCTTATGCACAGAATCAGATGCATATTGCCACCAAATTCCTATGATATGATCTGCTTATTTTGCAAAATTAGGGGAAGCTAATGGATGGTTAAATTATCGAATCTAGCATATGTATGCATGCATATCCATTTGCATATATTTATAAATGCAGTTCTTGAAGTGCCCTAGGAGTGGAGCTGATGCTAAACTTACTCCGATCTAGGGAGTATAGAACCATAAAATAATTCTTGTCTAGCTCGTGTTGTAGTACATTTAATTTTTTTTTCTAGATTTTAGGGACACACATGTAGCTTATGTGATTTTAGCCTTTTTTGATCTTCATTTCCATTTTGTTGTTTTAACTTTGAAGTGGCTTATGTGATCCTGACTTGACCTTAGTTGCTGAATTTCTTAGGTTGGTTCATACCATGCATCATCGTTGCTGGTGGCATCCAGACCTCCAACTCCCGGTGTTGTTAGCAGAGGAATCGGTCTTGAAGGTCTGTCCAGTGTATTAGCTGGTCTCTGGGGTACAGGAACTGGGTCCACAACTCTTACTGAAAATGTGCATACAATTGCTGTGACTAAGATGGGAAGCCGCAGAGCTGTTGAATTGGGTGCATGTGTTTTGATAGTCTTATCCCTTGTAGGTATGTTTTAATCAACTTTAATGTTTGGACTTTGAGGATGGCTCCGCAACTAAAACTTGTAATATCCTTGTTAATCTGTCAAAGACATGAGATATATTAATGTGCCACAGCATGCTAAGTCTAATTTTTGTTTGCAAAGATCTATAATTAAGATAATTCAAGGATGAATCAACTTCTAATGACTACTCAGATAATTCTTTCTGTTTTATTAGTTCATATTCTGCTGCTTTTTGGCCTTTATTTTTTGTTTATGTATATCATTTAGTTATACTGAAGCTTTTACAAGGTTGAAATAGAATCCATTTTTTTTTAACAGAAATCTTTCTCTTTGGGAGTTTCTTTTAAGAATAAAACTCAAGCATGTAATGACTAGGAGCACTATACCTAGGAATGTTTCTGTTAGTGCATTTGCAAAGTACCTTCTTATCTCACACCATCATAAATGATAAGATTATAGTCTTGTTTTCCTTTGTATAACATGATGGTGGCATTAAGCCAACAATATGATTAAAAAAGTTACTGCACAGGGATAAGTGGTGCTCACCATTAAGTATTACATTTTGTTTTTTCTGTTTGAAGTATTTCTGGAACATTGTAAGTCTGATGTTTAATATAATTGAGTGATTTTGATTTTATTGTTGTGTCTTAAAGTTAAATGTGCTTTTCATGTTTATATGTTGAGCACTGATGTGTTCTTTCATCCTTATGTATTTATCTATAACAAAGTTTGCACCTTTGTCTTTGTCTTGACATTTGATTTTGAGACATTTAGGCATTTGTTGAATGAGGAGGGAAAAAAATCAGGGTGGGATGCAAAGGTGGATAATCTAGGTGGATAATTTGCTCCCAAAAAAAGGGCAAAAGGGAGAAGGAAATTATTTTCATCCGAGAAGGTGAACCTTGAACATGTCTTTGACCAATAAGGCCTAGGCTGATGCGGCTTTCTTGGTTTAGTTGAAATTTGGAGTTCTATATACAAAGGTCCGTGGCTGAGGAATTTAGGACTTAGGGCACTGTATGTTTTATCTCACTAATTAACTATACCCAATTTAGTCATAGTGTAACATGTTAATAGAAAGAAAAAGATAGTATTAATAAATTTAATTGCGTTGTCTTTTAAATATACACTGACTTAATTTGTCTTATTACGATGCATTTGTTGAAAAAGAAATGTTATTGATAGATGGAATCGTGCAGAGTTGAAGCTCCTTTTTCTTTGTCTAACTGTTTTTCTCATGTACACACCACATTTCTGCCACACAGGTAAAGTTGGAGGGTTTATTGCTTCAATTCCTGAAGTCATGGTTGCTGCCCTTCTGTGCTTCATGTGGGCAATGCTTGCAGCATTGGGTTTGTCAAATCTACGTTATAGTGAGGCTGGAAGCTCTCGAAATATCATAATAGTTGGATTATCTTTATTTTTCTCCCTCTCAATACCAGCTTACTTTCAGCAATATGGCATCTCTCCGAATTCCAACTTGTCCGTTCCAAGTTATTATCAACCATATATCGTGGCATCTCATGGACCTTTCGGCAGTAAATATGGAGGGGTATGCTCTCGTTAACTTTCATTTAAACTATAAACTTGGTATTTCATGTTTCCTATCTAGTCTTATGCATGTTGAATGATTGGAGAAAAATGGAAAGGATATAATGAAAACCGATAGAACTTCCATTGGAAGTCCCCTCCCTTTTCTCCTCTCATAGTATTTAGAGTTGCATGATCACACATACATTGCAAAAACATGGTGGCCGGAAATGAACCTCTTAGATTGATATCACTGATAATCATGCAATTACCTAAGTTTAATATAACATAATTATATCTAGCGTGTTAAAACGTGGACAATTGAAAATTTATGAGAAATATGATTATGGAGCTATCATTTATTTGTAAATCCTTGTCAATAAAATCCAAGAAATTCTTGGGGCCTGCCGTTCTCCATTAATTTAACTGGATGTCTTGGAATGTTCTAGTTCACTACTAGCTGCCATAACTTATTTTATGAATAAATAAGCATCTGTTTATTAATATCTTTTTTGCAGTTAAACTACGTAATGAATACATTGCTATCGTTACACATGGTAATAGCATTCCTTGTGGCTGTTATTTTGGACAACACTGTACCTGGAAGTCGGCAAGAACGTGGGGTTTACGTGTGGTCTGAATCTGAGGCTGCAAGAAGGGAACCTGCAGTCGTCAAGGACTATGAGTTGCCCTTCCGGGTTGGTCGGGTTTTTAGATGGGTGAAGTGGGTTGGGCTTTGACAATTTTTTGTAGGTATGTAAGCCATCAGCGCATGGTCTAAGTTCATCAATAGCCATTCTCTGGGGTCACTGCCCTGCGCTACGATTTTAATGAATACCCTGAGGCTCATATTGGTAAATAGCTGTCTGAACTGTTTTTTACCTCACACGATGGGACTTTTTTGGGGCTATAGATGCTATAGAGATAAGTTATTTGTGTACATTGAGGATCCAGAAGGATCCCGTGGTGTTGTAATTTTAAATTATAAGCATTGTATCTAGTTTTTGAGTCACTGAAAATTGTCCAGAGGTGCATTTCACTCTTGCTTAAGACTTCTAGCTACTACTATCTTTTTGTATATTTTTTCCCATTATTATTTCATTAACTTCTTTCAGAGTGCTGCATTTACTTCCTTCTTCATTGCAGTTTTTATGCTGTCTACAGCGTTTCTTGTGGTTTATCGTAATGTTTCAGTCACAGCTATGGTTAAAAAGCCATGTCCACTGTGTCAGGGGGATGTGATTTATGACTTAATGCACCACGGCTCATCACTAAACAAGCTTCTTTGGAATAATGAGAATGGTTGAGAGTTTAGACAGTCTCCTCTCTTCTGAATGTGTATGAAGGACAAAAGTGGTAGTCTGCTGTTTTTCTCATGCGATATTCATAAGCTGAATGATTTTGCTCTTATTGAAGTCAATACAAGTTAGGTGGACCTTTCGTAAACTTTACTGATTTTTGCGAAATAGAAAGGAATATAATATATATTTTGTAGAAATAAAATAGAATAGGAATAAAATGAAAATATTATTATGTAATTTGGTTAAAAATAAAATAAAATAAAAATTGTTACAATGACTTAATTGTAATTTTGATTGGTAAAAATAATTCTGAAATGATCAACGAATAATGGATAAAAACTAAAAATATATTATTATAATATTAATAATTTAGTTTTATTTTATTTTTAAATATTAATAATTAAGAATTTATTTAAAGTATTAATATTTTATTTATAATTAAAATATTAATAATTTTAATTAATTTAAATTTAAAATATTATTTTTTATAATATATAATTAATAATTTAATCTTTTTATTTTAATTTTTTTTTAATTTTCCTCTAGCCACTAGGGTATCAGATTGACACTCTTCGTAGCTAAGTCTAATTGTAGATATAGTTATAAAGATTTAATTCAGATTCAACACTTCTCGTTATTAGATCTAGTCGTAGACATCAGATTTGATATTTTCTCAATCAAATATGGAAGAAGAGCTCTAGATCCAATCATAAAACCACCCCCATCGTCGCCTTCGTCACTGCCAACCCCCTCAGGTGGTGGGTGGAAGATTAGAGTGAAAAAGAAAAGGGCAAAAGTTGAAATAGAGGGAAAGGAGGAAGAGAGAGAGAGAGAGCAAAAAATACTTTTATACAAATAGAATTGTAATTTTTAAAATTTATAAAAAATATTTTAAATCTTATTATTTTTAAAAGTTATGCATTGATCATGAAATAACAAATATCATAAGAGTTGGTATTAGTTATTTTTTGATTTTAATAAATTTTGGAAATAGAAATTTAAAGAGAAATTGCTATTCCTTAAAAATATTTGACAGCAAAACAAATAAAACAAGAAATATTTTTTAGAATTAGGTAACCATGCAGTGCATGTCTCTTAAACTTCAGATTTGGTTGGATAAGAGCTTTAACTCATCATTCTTGTTTTTAGCCTGCTTTTTCAAAATCCAGTTACAGGGCCAAAAGGTTATTCTGAGAACATTCATCAACCACCCATTTTTCCATTATTGGGAAAATGGTTCCAATAGACTGCAGATGACGACATGTCTCATCTCCTGTTTCAAACAATGGACATTTCCCCTCTATTAACTCTCATTTTTGTTCTTGTACCTTGCTTCTGGAGTTAATTTTTTCACACTTTTTGACTCTCACTTATGCAATGATTAATGTACTTTTGTCCATGGCAAAGACTTTGAGGGCTGTGCTCCGTGTATATTTTACTGCTATTACTATATAATAATGCATACTGTGATGACTAGAAAGAAATCTTTTCTAATTTCTGAGTGGCTTGGAGTCCAACAAGCCTGCCAGACATCACATCCTCTATCATCATATCAGAGACCAATTCTCAATGAAGGTCAGCATGAAATGATGTGATAAAGAAACGTTTTGCAGCTGATCTGACCAGGCACTAAGATTCTATAATATTATTGTTCTGACTCTTGTTATACACCTGCAGAAAGGAGAAACTGCTTCTATAATTGGAGGGGTGGTAACCAGAGGAAATTACGAGGCTCTCCGTTGCTGATATAAGATTACGGGTCAGTCTGCAGTTTTAAATTGACGGTTAGGTTTATGTTGTTGTAAAAACTACCGTCTGCAACATGGAGCCAACCGTTGACAAACAATCTTGTGTATAAATCATTTTCATTTTTCAGCCATAAATATAGCTTCAAATAATTAAAACTTGCTGGGGCCACAATTTTATGCAACACATGTCAACTGGGACATGCCACCGCCCGTCATTTTAAGGGTCAGAATCCTTCAGTTTGAGGACCACTAAGTTGTATTTTCTCACCGTATTTCTCTCTTTAATTGATTGAATTTTCGATCAAATTGTTGGCCCTTAATTTTTAATAATAAATTTTAAAAAAATAGTAAAGGTGATCAACTAACTGACAACATGCAACGCATGCTATCTGCTGCTACTTCACTTAACAATCAAAGTTCAGCCAAACTGGGCCAAAAAAGACAGAAGAACAGCCCCACGTCTCGGCACAATACAAGATTCCGTGGATCTTCGAAACAAAATTTTCAGCAAATCGAGATTTATTATTATTATTTTTCTCATGCATATATTAACTATATTTATGCAGATAGACGTTGACATAGCAAATATCTTGCCCATAATTATGCAAGTTTATAGTATATAGTAGCATTAATTATTAAGGAGGGTGACATTATTCATCATGATTCCCTCAAAAACAGATTTTGGAAGAGAAAATTCGAAAGCTGCTTTTTAATATAAAATAAAAAGATTATGGACCAACCATTACATCAAATATTCGAAAATAGATATGTAGTATTTAGTCTTATTTAATAGGATTGGTGTGATTCCCATCAATCATGTGCATAAAAATCTTAATTTTTCTCATTATTATATGTATACAAATAATAATTTATTTTGTTAATATAATCTTGTCATGTCCATTCATGAACTTCCTACCACAATTAAGTTCTATAATCTAAATGAGTATGATCATTAGACAACCTCTCTTGTTTTGACATTGGATTTTATTTGTAGAGAAATGTTTAAATATTTGATGGTCGGACTACTTATTAATAAATAAATAAATATGCATTAAAATTTGTTATTTATTATCTACATGTCATTTGGGAATATAATGAAACTATTGAATATTCAAAATCTTTATTGCAATTATGCTATTGTTCTTTAATCGTATAGTAATTAAAAATAAACATAATGTTTTAAGAAGCTTTGAACTATTTAAAAAAATTTGAATAAGTCTTAATTTTTTTATTACATTCAATTAAGTATTTGTATTTTTATTTTAGGTCAAATAATCTCTTCTGATTAATTATTGACTAATTATCATTAGTTAAAATATTACTTATCATTTTTATTTCATATGATATTGATGTGACATAACATGTAAAAGATTAAAACTACCATGCGATCTTATAATTGTGTTACATCAATATGTCATATTATCATCAATTATGATATATTAGCATACCACGTTAACATCATGTGATATAAAATAACAAGTAAAGTTTTGATTATAGTTTTTAGTCAAACATTAAGAACTTAATTGAACGGTCTAAAAGAATAATATTTTAAAGATTTTTTTTAAATAATATATTTTTAAAATAGTATTTTTAAATTTAGAAAAATAAAAAAAATGAGGATTAGAACCCATAATCTTATCCCTCTTAAAAAGAAATAACTTAATCCAAGTCATAATTGTCATAACATTTTCTATTTTTTGCATTCAAATATTAAAAATTAGTCATTTTTTTTAACATTCTAGCAATAAAAGTAAGAAATCAAAACAAAACCCTTAATATTGCACGTTTTAAACAAAATGTCATTTTCTTATACAATCTAATGCTGCTAGCTGTGAATGTTGACCAAATTCAGCGAAGGAGGGCGCCCTCGGCTTACGCTAACATCGTGTAAGGAAGTCATCTTGTTCAGCCAAAATAAAGCACGTGGCAATGCAGAGATACCGAACCTTGTTTAAAGCTCAAGTTTTGATGTTTTTCTAGAGAAACTTCCACGTCTCCTGTCTCCTTGGTTTGTTACTCCATTATACGTGTTTCTATCTTTTCAAAAAATAAAAAAATAAAGAAAAAATAAAACACTTGTTTTTAATTTCTTTCACATTGGGAAAAACCCTTGGAGTCTTTCAAGAAGGGATTAATTTAAAACATTGAAAAAATATTTTTTTTTATTAAAGCATTGGGAATACATTTATAGTTTCGAAAGCTTTTTCACAATCGATAACAAAAGCTTGTATCACAATCAATCAATTATTGATTAAAATCCTTGAACACGTTATTGTTGATTTTCTTTGCATCGTTTTCAATTTTCGTGGAACAAACGTGTACTCAGTAATTTTTTAATTATATTATAAATTAAAAAATAAATAAAACCAATGTTAAATAATGAATAATGGCCTAAATAACATTTTAGAACAGAACGAGTTGTTTAACTTATAGGGAACCTGAAATTAAGAACCAAATGTGTTTTAGTTTGGATTTGTTACTTAATTTAGAATCAATAGTAGTTTTTAGTAAATTTTTCACTAATTTTAATTGTCGTTTCATACTTCTAAATTGTCTTCTACATATCAATTAAATTTTTTATTACTTCTAATTATTTTTTTCATGTCTATACTTTGGCAAATAACTTGTTTTTTTTTTTTTAATGAATCTCAAGATTGAGATTGTTTCGATAAAAAAATGCAAAACCATCTTTATTACAAAGAATATTATAAATCTAATTTATGTATAGAAATGTTTAAAATAAAAAAAATTTAATCCATAATGAGAGATATTTTATTAAAATTCAAATTTCCCTTGATGAAAACCACAACCGTTCAATGTACGTGACATATTTATAAAGAATGAAATATATTAGCTGATTTCAGAGATTTTTTGTAGAGAATGATTATTTTATTTCTGATATTTCATTAGTTGAAACTCGAAATTTATTGATAAACGACATGTTGGGAATATGTTTTTTTCAATTAATTAGAATGTAAGAATTTTTTTTTACAAAAATAAATAAAATTTTGCGAGGATTAAATTCAAAAAAAGTTGTAAGTGATAATTTTCTTGAAGATCCCTAGAT